GGTATAGTATACAGATGCGCGTTCACTTTCTGACACAGTCCATGCACTTGAGTCTGTCGTCAATAGGACAAATGGAGTGAAAGAACATTCGCTTTGACCCGTTTGGTTTAAACAGCTCGTTCACGTCTTTGTACAGATATCAGAAGGATCCCAGCGTAATGAACAAGTCGATAGTTTATTATTAATGGCATCCCGGATCATGTCAGAGGATTGTTCGGAGGATTTTGTTTTGTAATCAAGGCACAGTGTTATGGAGAGTTCACAAAGAAACATTTGTTGAAAGATGAAGCGGTACTAGATCTGACTGCTGCTGCATCACACACCGTAAGTAAATTATTTCATAATGCTTTGTCTGGAAATGACCGTTTTATTTTGATTATGTTGTCAAAACACTCACAATAGCGAGGGGGCGTTGATAGTGTTTCCTAAGAAATGACATTAGCCAATCATAACAGTGGCCGATTACTGAGAAGCCTTAAAGGACCCGCCCCTTAAAAACAGGATGTTTCAGAGAGAGGTTCAGAATGAGGGTTGATTTTTTTTATTTTTTGTGCAAAAAACTGTATTAACATTATTAGTAAACCTAAAGGAACATATTAAAATAATAATAAAAAAATCAATGTCATGACCACTTTAATAATTTAAGTCAAGAGAGCTCAATCACTGTCTCTCTCTCTCTTGTTTATTTTTTATTTTTTATTGTGCATCAGGTGAAAACCATAATTGTTTGCACAACTGCACATGTCTCCTCAATAGGTTGTGTGATTGATCTAGTTGAATATTATTTTTAAATATAAAATTTTATATGTTTATCACAGCTCATGCTCTTACATTCTCTATTGCTGCACCATAAAACATTGTATTAAATGGCTGAAAAAGCCATGCTTTAGTTATTCATGAGAAAATGCTGTGAATCTCAAGCTTTTAAAGCATAAATTTGCTGCATTTTTCACATCACTCTGCTTGATCGTGCTGATGTTCAAAAGAATGGTACCTATTAGATGGGAGTGCCTGTTTGTGGCATTATTTCTGCATTTCCTGTCGGGGGTATTGAACCACCTTGTGTTTGTAGATTGGGGGCAACCTCCACTTTTAATGAATTGTTTACCAAGCGCGCCTTGTTGCACATCACTTCTGATGTTTGCTGAAAGCTGACAGAGAAAGCTGAAAGCTGCCTGCTTTGTTCCATTCCAGGTTTCTTGTAATCGTGAACATAAAACAGAAGCAGTGAGAATCTTGAAACCAAGATGAGATATGTGGGATGAATCGGATATCTTTGATAACTTTTCAGCTAAATATTTAAAACCCTTGGAGATGTTGCCAGCTTTTCTTCACTAAATGTTTGGATCTCCTGCCAGCTGATGACACCTGTGTTATGACATATTGTGGGAACAACTTTACAGTGGCTGGATGTAGTCACATAACTTTAACCCTGTAAAATCAAATTTTCTGATAAAAATCTAATAATAGATAAAAATCGAGTCTATTGAATCTTTAGACTTTATAATTCAAATCTTTAGACAAAATGTCTAATATGTCTATAAAAACTAAATTGTATCATATTTGATACTTTAAGGTAAATATTAATTGTAACAGCAATGCAGTTTTATTGAATTTGAGATCTTTGAAGCATTTCTGTATATTTCTATTCATTTGTTTATTTCTGTTTTCTGAATTTTGTTTCAATGCCAATAAAGGAAGAAAGCAAATTTTAAATGAATATTAGTATTAATATAAATATAGAAATATAGGATAAGATGTACTAGTCAAATAAAAATAAATAAAAATGAAAAGTGTCACTGATACTTTATTGACCTAGTTAAGAAAATGTGTCTCGGGCCCAAATACATATTTAAAATATATAAAATATGTACAACAAAAACTTTATTATAAAATGAAAAAGAAAAAAATCATAGAAATATCAGTTCCTATGCTCTTAATCTTAGTAAAATTATATTTTAAGTTTTAATTCGTTTAGTTTATTGATGAAATTATTTAAGCATTTTATTGTGGTGGCCATGATACATCATAAAGATATGTAGTAGATTTTACACAGATACAGATAAGGTAATGATCATGTTAATGGCCTTGTCAAATGATACATGTGGATCCGGGAAGCCGTTAAAAATTCTGTCAGTATTTATTCACCATCATATCATTCCAAAAGTCTTTGAATCACTTTTTATGCTGCTCATTTGTCGTATTTAGAGCTGACTTGGTCATTATGAACTTTCATTGTATAAAATAGAGCTGCATGAAGATTCTTCTAAAATTCTCCCTTTGTATTCCATGGGGGGAAAAAAAAAAACTGCATACAGGTTTGGAACGGCATTGAGATGAGTAAATGACAGAATTTTTCTTTAAACCTGTGTGAGCCTTCCTTAATTCAAAGACACAGATTCTCGGCTCTCATCCCGACGGCTGGCACATATCATATGGCTGTCATCATCTGCTTCAGATATTTAGCCAGTATTCATTTTGAAGGAAAGAATGTCACAGACCGCAATGGATTTGCCTTTACGTCATTCCACTAACATGACATTCAAAAAAGTGGAAAGCATTTAATTCGCTCCCAGTTCATTTTTTTAATATAATGCTCTGGCACTTTATTTGTGCAATCGTCTGAAACAGATTAATTTTTTCCGGGTGCAACCTCTGGATGTCGTTTTGTCTGCTCAAGGTAATCCTTCCAAGACGTTGATAATGAATAGTGTAATCCTTCCTCATTAGCACATGCATTGCTATGCCTTTTTTCTAATGAAATATGGAAAGATGCCTATGAATAACGAGCCATTGCAGCAGGTTTAACCATGACATTGCAAATGATTAGTCACCTCAGGTGGGTGAGTTGGCCAGAAATTGATTTCTGGGATTGACAATAATAGAAAGTAGTAATGTCCAATTTGTAAATGGAAGACTTTTTCAGTCTATTTTTAGTGAATCTGAATCATTCTAAGTGCTCTCTGACTTACTGAATCAGAAAGACAATAGGACAGCAGCTACAGACATTTGACATCTTTTGTACACAAAATAGTCTCATTTAAAGCTTTTTCCATAGTGATGACCTTTTAGCATAGTGTTAAAAACACTGATTTCTAGAAGTTTGATATCTTCTCTGAGACTGCCTGTTCATTTCTGAAAATAAAAGACCTACTTTTTTCCAAAAGGTGACTAGACAGCAAAGAGTAGCTCATTGTACGCTTGTCTCATCATCTGCATAATCAGTCTAGAGTCTTGTGAACTTGCTGTTCTTGTTTCTTAGGGAACAGAAGCATTAATAAATTTCATTATGCAAAATAACACACTATAATTAAAGTTCTGTGGGCTAAGTTTTAATTCTGAACATATAAACTGATCACAAAAATAAAAAAAAACTTGACAATATTATACTGACAAAAAAATATGTCTATTTAACAAGATTTATAATATTTGATAAAAAGCTTAGTGTAAATATGCCCTCAGTGCAACAACTGGAGAAATAACAGGCATGTCTATACCCACTTGACAGTAGGTGCGTAATTTCTTAATAACTTGGAAATTATAAATAGTCCATTTTAATAAGCAGTGACATTAAAGGGAGATTTATTCTCGTGGGAAGAGCTACACTGAAGTGGAAAATGATCTCAGATTGGCATTTAGATTTCATTCTAATCAGGTTAGACACCACAGAGGCTTGTAAACTAAAGCCGAGTGTAAATGAAGGTGGTACAACTTTATAACAAAGTGACCTCATCTCGTAAACTCTGTTTTTGAGGACAGTTACAAGACACAGCTGCATAGAAACTGGGAGGAAAATCACAGCCGACGAATGACACAGTCATGCATGGTAACTAGTTCAACACTGACAACTTGATTAGTCTTTGGCACAAACAATATCTGTCCTTAAATTGCATATCAAACGCAGAGAAGACTGGTGTTAATTGTCACAAGGGGAAGCTGTTATATCACAGTATTAGATTTTGAGTCAAAGGTCCAGTCACAAAGTCATTTTATATGTTGATTTCAAACAACTAGTGCAAAATCTTCATAAAATCATAAAATGAGGCTTGTGTGTATAACAACAGATTAAAAAAATGGTAACTGTTATAAATGTATTGTAAATGTAAGATTGAATCAAGTTATGTCTTATATATATATATATAGTATCTTTACATAATTAATCAATTGCAGTTTCTCTCATGTAAACTATGGTTTTATAATGTTATGTTAGTGTTCTCTTTTGCTTTTCCATTTATTCATTTTTGCTGTTTCATGAATTGACTTTCGCTGAAATACTGTGGATGCATTTGCATATTTTATTTAAAAAAGAAATCACTTTAGGAGTAATTATTATGTAATTATTGTGTTCATAGTTTATTTTTCCTTTATATCATATGTTCATATATACATGTCAAAATCAAGACTTCCAAAGACTTTCATCACACTGAGGCTATTTTTTACTCCTCAAGCGATTGCACTGAAATACATTGCCGTGATGAACACACAATACCGTTTTATGTCCTTGCTAGTTTTTCAAAGATGCAAATTTATGGAAATTCTTCCTACATTTGCATCTTCATCTCTGAGGATATGCCCGCTCACATAATGGTAAATTTAATGTTAATGATAGATTATATCTAAAGCAGAAAACAAACATTTTATGCATTTGCGGCATAAAGTCTGTGCTAAGATTCATCCTTTATTGTAACAGAACAATACACCCTCACATTGCTCATAAAGACAGAAACTTTTTACTTTTCATAAAGCAAAGGCAAGCACACCATCTGAATTGTTTTGCTTGTAAAATCAATCAAGGCTGGATCTATTTGCCCTCAAAAGAATCTCAAACCAATATGCACCAGTACACAGCAAATCCTCTGAATGTATTTCATCATATTCACCATGCCTGGCGATATGCACATTCTGGACCTGAGATAACATGCAGAGAGAAACAATATTGTCAATGCAGAGAGAGCGTATTAATCACATAGAGATAAATCCATCCGTTCAGAGCCGGCACAATGGGAGACGGACAGCAAGTGGAGCGCTCAAGTTTCGTAGACCCCATAGTGTGGCCGAGAGTGGGGCAAGGACAAAGGGAAGGTGAGCGGCGTTCAATTCATTATGTATCTGTCGTAATGTATCTGGAGAGAAAAGAGTTCTCAGCACAAGTCCTCGAAATGTTCAAAACTCTTGAGTGCCTTTGCAGTTGCAGTTTTTACTTGCCATTGCACCATTATTACTGTTTGTGCTATGGATATGAATGACGAAAAGAGGTGAGGTGTACTATTACTTTACTAAACATTGAAAAATCCCAATTTTATTATGTTAGACATAAAAAGGGGCACTTATACTAACATTGAAAATGGGTCATACAGTATATGAGAACTTGACTATTACAGAATATCAGTTATATATGTGAAATGCTATAGCTGCATATATTATAACAATGTAATTACATTGTAGTTACACTGGTTCATTGACCATATGAAGACAAATGGCTAACAGCTGGCTTACCCAACTGCAGTCCCACCTCTTGGAAAAAAAAAGAAAAGAAACCTGTTTCTTAAGTTCATCACACAGTGAGTCCCAGGCCGTATTAATTTGCTGCTCAACCGAGAAGCTTCAGATGGACAATGCAGCACTGCAGCTTTTAGGTGAAGTCCACATGTATACAATTAACACTGCTATTGCCATAACATTGTACATAACACGTAATGTACTAGAAAGAAATCAGGGCTAATTGTTGAATTTTCTATGTTTTCCCCCATTTTTTTTGCTGTGTTAAAAAATTTAATTATCTTTTTAAAAAGTTTTCATAAATAATCTCAAAGCCACTTTTTTTAAAACTCTAAATAGTATTTTGTGTTCAAAAATCAGTCTCAAATCAGTGTAAATAAAACAGCTTCCCACTGTGACAACATACCCCAGAAAGAAAGGGTTCACTGAACTGAATCTTTTTTCCCTTATAACAACGGTGACAAAGTTCAACAGCTTTTGTTGTAAAGACTTTAAGGCATGGGTTTATACAGAAATTCAGTTAAATAAATAACCACACCCTGGAAAATATTTAATGAATTGAAAAGTGTCCCCTTGATATTATCAGTGTCATCCTGCTTTTGTGGCCGGGATTTGAGGAACATGATGAAATATACAGTTCATAATTACTGATCAGTGTGTGCTGAATTATTGATTAGCACTATTATAGCTATTTATTTTGCACAAAGGCAGCTTTGTTTGGTATGCCCATATATTTACATTTATAATGAAGTGAATACTGTCGAATCAATAATCTTGTACTAAATGTGCCATTAGCTAAAACAAACAAGTAGGCCTACTCTGTCACTACAATCAGGCTCATAGTTGTGGATATGCATATATTACATTTATCAACAGCCTCTTCAAAATCAACCCGTGCGATATAATTCCATGCATTGTTTCCAAAACAAAGCCTTTTATTACTATGCTTAATTGGACTTCTGTGCATTCAAATTGCAGTGAATTACAATGTTTTTGTTTGGCCACTGGTGTAAAATGAACCCTTTATGAATGAAATGTATGTCTTTTGAAAAACGATCATTAAAATAATTCAAAGCCTGTGATCTAATTTTTGTGCAAATAATTTGTTGCATCCTGCAAATAAGCACACTTTTGTCATTTTAAAGCCTATTTTAGTGTAATTTTTACTACAGTATATTTAAATATTCCAGTAAAATATCAGATTGTAATAGTTACAATGCATAAATGGCATGCTTTATATAAATAGAACTATGGCATGCAAAAAAGTGCTAACTGCTCAAATTGCATTCAGCACAGATTTTATGCATGTTTGCACTGTGGCCTGATTTGCATAATTCCGGTAGTGAATCAGATACTAAAGCAATGCAGACAGTGCATGCAGATAAACAGTGCTATCAGTGAATTCAATCCATCCTCAGCGAATCCCCCCATGTGTTTTATCCTGAGCTGCATTGAATGTAAGGTGGAATTGAGATGTCACAGTGCCACAGATTGTAGAGCTGACAGGTCATTTAGTCTTGGAGTCACTGGGCTGTGAGATGTCGAGCTTCGAAGCGTCTTTTGTGTCAAGAGTCACAAGACATTCTGCCAGTGACCAGGAAGCCTCCTTGAATGTCACGCCATATCTGTTTACTGACAATTGATATGCTATAATATGGAGCAGGAATACCAATTGGTGAGAGTGTACAGCCCAGCCTATGCATTACACATGGATCATTATCACTGAAGAGGTTTAGTGTTAAATCTGAAGTGCGTTTGCCTATCCCAATTTAATATAGAGCTACAGTATTAGTAGTAAGGAAACGGTGGTAGGCTGATTTTGTGTGTGTAAACACACACATGCTGCAACACATTTTTACTTTTTGATTAATCTGTGCTTTTTTCCAGTAAAAAGTGTTTAATATCATATTCATATATTGTATATGATTTAAATAATATATAATATCATATTGTCATCAATGTCATTGCTTATTAAAGGGGTCATATGATGCAATTTCAATTTTTCCTTTCTCTTTGAAGTGTTACAAGCTCTTGGTGCATAAAGAAGATCTGTAAAGTTGCAAAGACTAAAGTCTCAAATCCAAAGAGATATTCTTTATAAAAGTTAAGAGTCAGTCACACCTACCGACCGTTTCCTGATCCTGGTAGAGTAGACTACAATGCCGGCTGTTCTGACTCACAGACTGCAAGTACGTTTTTTCCATTTAAAGGATTTGCCACTGACGATTCAAACGCGAGTTTTGAGCACTGTAGAGTAGCACTTGTTGTTTGTTATTTCTCCGATCACAAAAGCAGACATGGTTTTATGTTTACGCAGCGCAACTCGTAAAAAGACAGTATAAGTCATTATAATCCGTAATTATGTCCCCACTGGATGCAACAAATGCCTCATTTGTAATGGGTTTTATTG